TCCTCATTAAACTCTTAGCAACAGTGTGTTGGTTTAACCCAAACAGGCCAAACAGGTCATCCAGGATGGTTGGGGAATCAACAGGTAAGTTCAGTTCCTTTTCATCTAAACTATTAATATATCCATTTCAGAGTGGAGAAAAACCAGGGTTTGGAGATCAGTCTTTGTTGTTTCAGTAATTTTCATGCAGAGGACAGTATGTCTGTAGAGTGTCATAGAAGTTTAAAAAGATGGGACGAAACATGAAGGCTCCACCCACTTAGAAGACATTTCCTGATGGATCTATGAGGCCTGCATGACGGGTGAATCTTCAGTTATACTGCAAACAGGGCAGCAACAAGAAGGATGTCATTAAACTCACCCATGAAACATCATCTGATCATCACAGGCTTCTGCATAACCTTTCATGTCATATGGGTCTCAGGTAATGAGTCAAATTGATTTTCATTATATTCGTCAAAACAAATTTTAGCTGAATCCAAAGTGATGTTCGTTTTTGTGCTTTTCCACAGGTTCCTCCCCTGGAGACCAAGTCAGTCAAACTCCACTAGATGTGATCAAAGAAGAGAAGCAAACGGCTGAAATCAAATGTTCACACAAGATTGATTATTATTATACAATCCTCTGGTACAAGCAAACGAATATTCAACTGCAGCTCCTGGGATACCTTTATCAAGGCAAAGAAAATGTAGAGACAGGAGTGAATGTGAAGATTGAAGGAGGTGCAAATAAAGGAGAAACCTGCACTTTAACGATAGAAGAACTCAGCCTGAACAGCAGCGCAGTTTACTTCTGTGCTGCTAGTCTACACAGTGGAACATGTCACTGCTCCTCAATACAAATACCTCCTGATCACACATTTTTCTTTTTTGTAGTCTTTCTTTTATGGCTCATGACAACTTGCACCTGCATTCTAATCAGGTTTGGTCTTCCCTCAGATTATAATAATGAATTAATGCGTCAGGTTTTTAGTGGAGAGGAGTCTAACACCTCTTAATACACAGCAGTGAGGCTAAATGATATGTCCTTTCTTGATTAATGATTAAACTGAAAAGGCCTGGAGAGAATTTTAACATCTCTAAATACACAGCAATGAGTGCAAATTATATGTCTTTTGTTGATTAATGATAAAACTGAAAAGGCCTAAAATGATTATATTGTTGTCTGAATGAGATTCGATTGCTAAATTGTTTGTTTGAAAGTCCAGCGACATGAATAGATTATGTAATTATCTGCAGTATTTATTAAGGACTTTTGGGCTGTGGAACGAATTATATTCATTACAGTGTATTCTTATGGGAACATTTTAACAAACATGCAAATATTTTAACATACGAAGTAGGTCGAGGAACTAATTAAAATCGTATGTAGAGGTTCTACTGTATGTCCGTAGATTATCATGGAAGTTTTAAAATAGAGACAAGCTTGGAAGCCCCACCCACTTCGAACACACTTCCTAGATGAATGAGGCCTGTATGAGTGGTGAATCTTAAGTTATACTGCAAACAGGGCAGGAAAAAGAAGGATGTCATTAAACTCACCCATGAAACATCATCTGATCATCACAGGCTTCTGCATAACCTTCCAGGTCATATGGGTCTCAGGTAATGAGTCAAATCGATTTTCATAATATTTGTCGACATTTTTTAAAATCTAAATCCAAAGTGATGTTCATTTTTGTGCTTTCCCACAGGTTCCTCCCTTGGAGACCAAGTCAGTCAAACTCCACTCGATGTGATCAAAAAAGAGAAGCAAACGGCTGAAATCAAATGTTCACACAAAGTTGACATCTACAACCAAATCCTCTGGTACAAACAATCAAACTCACTACTGCAGCTCCTTGGATACTTATACATACGCACACCAAATATAGAGAAAGGAGTGAATGTGAAGATTGAAGGAGTTGCGAATAAAGGAGAAACCTGCACTTTAACCATAGAAGAACTCAGCCTGAACAGCAGTGCAGTTTACTTCTGTGCTGCTAGACTACACAGTGGAACATTTCACTGTTCCTCAATACAAAAACCTCCTGATCACACATTTTTTCTTTTTTCAAGTCTTTCTTTTATGGCTCGCAGCTCCTTGCACCTGCATTATAATGCAACTGTAACAGTTGGTCCTTTATCTGATTAAAATCATTCATAAAAAAGGAAATCCTTACTATTCCTCTAAAGTACCAACTTTCCTTTTTAAACAGCAGTAATCCAAAGACTTCAGTGGTGACTTCATGTACATTTTTTCATCATTACTGCAGTTTAATTCTACGCATGAATATATTTGTTGTCCTGTCTTTTGCACCATCAAACCTCTAACAGCAATCGTTTCCAAAAAATATATGGACACTTTTAACATTTTTTGACATAATTCCTTCAGTATACATTAATATAAATAAAAATATGGACGATAGTTTGACTTCCTGGATTAATTGAACATATACGTATATTTTTCAATCAGCAATATTGATTCATTAAAAATCCCGCTTTCTTTATTCATGATGAAAATAGGCTACAGGTGATTTCAAAGTGTGCATCTAAGCTTGCAGACCCTTACATCTGTATGATTATTATCCATTAGATGGCAGTATGAGACAGTTGTGTTAGCTGATAAAACAAGAGGAAGAAAAATACTGTGACACCATCCATCTGATGATTTCACATTTGTTTTATGAAGCTGTTGGAGGGTTGACCCAGAAAGAACCAGTTTAAATGCTAGGGAAGATTAATTAAATTCTTCAACATACAAAAAAATTTCAGGATAGAAAATGGTCTTCTTGGTCCTTAGTATTGCTTTTATTGGCTCCCTGGTTTCAGGTAATGGCTTCAAAATAACTGTGATATTTTTGGCCTGTTTTTAATCTGCATTTCAGGATTTTAAGTAATATATCTGTTGAATGAATTCACATTTGTGGGGGATCTTTATTTCCCTCTTTCGGCTGATGATATTTTTTTCAGCAGGTTCTTCTACCAGCGAAAAAGTCAGACAGGATCCAGCAGAGATGTACCATGAACAGAAACAAGCGGCCAAAATCCACTGCACACACTTCATCGACAGCTATAACAGAATATTCTGGTACAAGCAGTCAAACAGACAACTGCAGCTGCTGGGATTCTACTTTGTAGGCAAAGAGAATGTAGAGGAAGGAGTGAATGTGAAGATTGAAGGAGGTGCAAATAAAGGAGAAACCTGCACATTAACCATAGAAGAACTCAGCCTGAACAGCAGTGCAGTTTACTTCTGTGCTGCTAGTCTACACAGTGGAACATGTCACTGCTCCTCAATACAAAAACCTCCTGATCACACATTTTGTTTTTATAGTTTTTCTTTTCTAACTTACAGCTTCTTGCACCTGCATTCTAACCAGATGCACTCTGATCATAATCATGGATTAAAAGGGGAGGTTCGCATTTCATGAGGGATTTCAACCTTCATCTCTCCTTATTAGCAGCAGTAAACTCAATCATCTTTCTTCACTGGTTAAATATTATTTGTATTTTTTCAATACAATCAATATGATGCACACATTTCTATTTGACCTTCTGTCTATATTACCTAAAGTAAACAGGTTATAATATCAAGAGTGTCAGAAGCTTTTTGATTTATTTTCTCTGTGTTATATAATTGCCTAAAGATACTGCGGCACGTTTAAATTCTTGCTGCCTCAGCATTCCTTCCTGCTTAATGATAAAGTCCAGTTCTACCTGGATCAGTGGTTTTAAATTACAGCCTACAAACCCCTACCAGTTGTTGATGTAATGTTAATCCATGCATTGATTGTCAGCATGAATACAGACTGCTCTGCTCTGACCAAATCAACTGTCAGCATAATTTTGTTGGAAATTGGTTCATGACATTCAAAGACTTTTAAAAATATATATGTGTTATGAGATGTCTCTTTGACCATCTCTCAGTTTAAAAATGATCTTCATGTGAAAGTTAAGATCCTATAAACCGCGGTATGACTAAGAGATGACCATTAGATTTTTTCAGTTTGAGGGTCTAAAATCAAGAAATTACAATTACAGTTTGGTCTGCTCAGTATCCAGACTAGGAAAAAAATCCCGTTCATGATGAGATCTCTGCTTTAATGATCAGGTATCTTAAGTTTTGACAGCTCTACTGTCACATTAGCATGTTGGTTTATTTCAAACAGTTGATCTAGAAACGATTCAGAACTACTTAATCCAATGAGAAAAATCTTAATTTCAGACTACAGAAAACCCAGTGTTTTGTGGGTCTGTCTGTTGTGTATTTTAATGGGATTGAGCGGGGCATGTGCATTGAGGCCCCACCCACCTAAAGAAGCTCGGAATGAAAGCTGGGCAATCAGCGGAACAGCAAACAGAGCAGGATTAACACGGATGCCCTTAAATTCAGACATGAAACATCACACAATCGTATCAGGTTTATGGATTACCATTCATGTTTTCTGGCTGTCGGGTAATAAGAAAGACAAAAAGGTTTATGTGTTGGTTTGTTTCTTTCAAATCAAATGTGTAAGTGTACGCTGTAGTGTTTTTTGCTTGTGCTTCACCACAGGTTCAACTCTCAGTGACAAAGTCCAACAGGATCCAGCAGAGATGCACAAAACAGCTAAAGAAGAGGCCAAAATTGACTGTTCACACAGTGTCGACAGCTATAATACAATCCTCTGGTACAAACAATCCAACTCACAACTGCAGCTCCTGGGATATATGGTTGGAAGCAGTGACAACGTGGAGAAAGGAGTGAATGTGAAGATTGAAGGAGATGCAAATAAAGGAAAAACCTGCACATTAACCATAGCAGAACTCAGCCTGAACAGCAGTGCAGTTTACTTCTGTGCTGCTAGTCTACACAGTGGAACATTTCACTGTTCCTCAATACAAAAACCTCCTCATCACACATTTCTCTTTTTTCTAGGCTTTCCTTTATGGCTCATGCATCTGTGTTCTAACCAGATAAGAGCTTTGCCTCTGATCACAATTGTGGATTCAAATAGGATCTTCTTACAACAGTGAAGCGACTTTAGCGTCTCTCCAAGTCCTCATAAAAAGCAGCAAAGTCAAGTGCTGGACGTCAGCACTGGCCGCATAGTACTGCTAAACAGGGCTTGTCCATATTTGCTTCGGTCGTTGGCCTCAAGATGCACAAGCTGAAAGGGGATTTGTGGGCTTCAAAGTTTGTGTATTGGACGGTGATCCCATGGATTTTTTTTCAGATTTTCGCGTTTACTACGAATAATAACCCCGTCTTCTTCCCACTGTCCAAAAACATGCTTGTTAGGTTAGTCGAACATTTAATTGCCCCTGGAAGGGAATGTTAATGTGTGTGAGTGTTTCTATGTGTGGTCCTGTGATGGACTGGCAATCCTGTCCATTGCTATCCAGCCTTTTGCCTAATCATCTGAAACAGGTTTTCACTGACCGTTTGGCTGAAGCCTGATTGTGGTGTTTGGACTGGCAAATACCAAAAAGACAGTATTGAGACTTGGGAAAAACTGCAGCCTGACTTCAGCAGGGTCCGTCCTTGTGTTGTCAGGAAACAGTGATGTGTAGATCATGTGTAGCTATTTTTTTTTGTCTTTCCAGTAGATGGTGCTGGAGCTCCAGGAATACTGTTTGAGCTTTTACTGTCAGATTTTGTTAGTTAGGTTCTGTGCTGTGAAAAGTTAAAGCCAGTCTGGTCTGTGTGTCTTCTGAGAAAAACCCTCCATCATGCTGACGTTTTCTTTTTTGCTCTGGCTCATGGGTAATCATCTTTCCTTTCAATGATTTCCACTTTTTGAAAAGTATTGTTAGATTGACAAGAAATCGTTTTTCTCTTTTTCTAGGTCTTTGCCTGGGAGTTAAAGTCGACCAAAGACCTCTAGAGACTCTGAAAAATCTCGGAGACAGAGTCCAGCTGGTCTGCAGCCATGGACAGACCGACTACACCCAAATGCACTGGTTCCAGAGATCCCGTTCAGACCCAGCTCTGCGGCGCATTGGACATGTGTACTATGGCAATATCGATATCGAAAAGGCATTCGAAAAGCATTTCAATATCACCGGAGATATGAGCGGGTCCACTGCGAAGAACGGCTCTCTGCTCATTCTGGACCTGAAGGCCGAGCATGCCGCTGTGTACTACTGCGCAGCCAGCTACGCACAGCAGATGCCAACCCGCGCTCCTCCGTACAAAAACCCAGAGAGCCCCTTTTTTCTGAATCAGTGGCTTTGAATTTGAACTTGAACAAGCTCCTCCCAATGTTTTATTGGATGTCAGCAGCCAGCGCGAAGAAGGCGTCACCTCCTCATATCACACTGCCCATCAGATTGAGCTGTTGTGACAAGAACATTTAGTATAAGTTACTTCTTGAGGGACTTTTTAGTACTTTTTATGTTGTGACGGTCAGCATGATTAATTTCCTTTGTCTCTGTTGTCTGATCGGTAATGATTTTCACCAAATCAATCAGTTCCGGTGCCTTTTGAAATAACTTATTTATCATTATTCCACATTTTTTTTTAATTCTCTTTCTTTTCTTAGATCTCAGTCTGGGTCTGGAGGTCCGTCAGTCTCCCTCTCATCACATCGCTGACCCTGGTGACAGAGTGCAGATTTTCTGTAGCCACGACGAAACTAGCTACAGAGTCATGCTCTGGTACCAGGGGTCACCCAGCGACACGGCGATGAAACTCATCGGATATTTGCACTTCAAAGATGTCAAAATGGAAGCCCAATTTGAAGCCAATTTCAACCTCACGGGAGATTTGGGCGGCGATACAAAAAAGAATGGCTCCCTGGTCATCCAAAATACAGTACCCGCTCACAGCGCGATCTATTACTGCGCAGCACGAGAAGCACACTGATGAAACTCTGCTCTCAACTTTACAAAAACTACACAACTTTTTTTTTTCTACAAGTGGTTTTCAGACAGACACCCAACACAGCTGTTTTGTGGTTATGTTTTAGTTTTAAGTGTTCACATCAAAATGACCAAATACCTCTGTTTTAGTCAACCTTATCAGGGGCTAAAATGGAGGAGGCCTATAAAGCTTTTTTTTTTTAATCTATGGTGATTTGAGTGGGGATCATAGCTGTACAAAACGTGCCCAGTGCAGATTAATACGGTGCTGCCCGACTTGCACACTGATGAAATTTCTCTGAACTCAACAGAAACTGCACACAACGAATCAGCATTCGTGGTTTCGAATAAAATTGAGACTGCTCCAAGACACCTGTTTTAGTGGTTTTTGATATATTGTGTTGTGATCATTTGAGCACTAAATGATACTCTAAAAAAATAGAATTGCTAATATGATTCGCTCCAACAACAAAAAAGTAGATTAATTGATTAATTTAACTTTTATTGAAATCCATCAAATTCAAAGATTTCTCTCTTCTTTACCTTCATTTCTTTTTGTGCTGTTGACGGGCTAAAATTTCAAGGCACTCCTTCGTAAAAAAAAAAACTATTTTAATTCTTTTTGAAAATCCTACGTCAACAAGAACACTAATAAATGGTTAGTGTGGCCACAAAAAAATAACACCAGTCTGGTTTACAACTGCATAAAGCCACTCCTCTCTTGCCATCTTATCGGTTTGCCCCTGTAATCACTCTGGGTTCAGAAACCAGGAGAACCTCTCCTAATGCGTTTCAGGATATCTGCACTCATGTCTGATCTCCACAGATTTATCACATTTCTTTTCTGTCATTTCCTCACAGGTAACTGTTGGTTTATTATGAGTTATTTAAATGTGTTGTGTTGATTTGCCTTTTTTTAAAAAAAACAAATCTGTCCATCGCCTCTTTCAGCAGGTATTTCTCTGGGTGTTCAGGTCCATCAGTCTCCCTCCGTTCTCATCGGAAAGGTGGACGATGAGGTACAGCTGGTCTGCAGTCATGGCCGAAGCGACTACAGAGTGATGCTGTGGTACCAGCAGTCGCCTGGAAAAAAGGCGCTGACGCTCATCGGCTATGGATACACGCAGTTCAGAAATGACAGCGTTGAGGAGGCCTTTAGGAAACATTTCAGCTTAGCCGGGGACCTGAGTGGTGACAAAGTGAAAAATGGCTCTCTCTTCATAAAGAAGCTGAAAACACCTGAACACACGGCAACGTACTTCTGCGCTGCCAGTGAGCCACAGTACATCAAACCCCCAGCTGCTCCTCTCAAAAACCTCCTCATCCTCTATCTCTGAATGCAAGCTAGGGGGTGAACTCTCCCCACAGTAAGTGGCTGTTATTTATAATCAAATCCACTTCACATATATCATTTAACATTAATAAGCAGTTCAAATAAATCACCAGGAAAAAAAATGTATGTCAAGACAATGTAAAGACTTCTGGTTTACTGATAAGATTACTGAGTTTGTATATATTATATACTTTATGGTTAGCACCATCGAGGGTTCTCTCCGGGTTCTCCGGCTTCCACCAACAGTCCAAAAACCTGCATGTTAGGTTGATTGGACATTCCAAATGTCCCTTAGGAGTGAGTGTGTGTGCGTGGTTGTTCGTCTTTGTGTGTTTATATGTGGCCGTCTTGCCTATTGCATACCGGGATAGGGTCCAGTCCCCCCGTGATTCAGAAAATGGTATGGATGGATGGATATTGCCATCTCCAACTTCATCACTAGATGGCAGTGTGTTCTTTTCATAAAAGTAAACACAACAAGTGAGACTGAGCACTTGTAACTTGTTCGGTGCATTACACTAAAATCATACAAAGCATCAGAAATTGATATTCAATCAGAACAGTTTCTAATATTCTTTACTTACTGGAGTAGCCGTTAAATAAACTGCTACTAAAAATTTTTTTAAAAACTACCTGGATCCATTTCCTTACCCATTTCCTGTTCCTCCCTCTGATACACAATATACCACAGCAGAGTCTTTAGTTGGTTCCTGACATTCAACATGAAGCCATATCATCTCATCATAGGCATCATCATAACATGCTGGATAAAAGGTATCACCCAACCGTTAACACTTTCTTAAGTATTTCTAACAACAGAAAATATCATTTCATGATAACAGTTGACTTTTTTTTTATTATCTCTCAACAGGATCTAACTCAAGTAAAGAAAAGCAAGTGTTTCAAAGTCCAGCTAATTTCTTTGGGAAAGCAAAGAGCGGAGTCAACCTGACCTGTTCGCACAATATCTCAAGCTATGACACGATTCTCTGGTATCAGCGCTCACCAGGGGAGACCTCCCTGAAGCTCATTGCCTACATGTATTATAAAACACGCAATGTTGAGACACAGTTTAAGGGACGCTTTGCAGTTGGTGGTGATGGGGAGAAAATGGTTTACCTTCAAATTCTAAACCTCACACATCCTGGAGACACTGGAGAATATTTTGGAGCAGCAAGTATGCACAGTGAGAAATATAGTGATTCTCCCCATACAAAAACCTCTATGGTGAGCTATCTGGAAGATAACGGGACACCAACAGGAAACCTCTAAATCCATGTGACACTGTGGCAAAAACTACAGTACAACAGCTCCTTTGATGAAGGGTTGCATGTATAGCTGTAAAATAAACTTATGGAGAAGAGCAACCAGATAAAAAACAATGGAGTGTATCTTCAAGTGTAAATGAGAAGTCTATGTCCATCATTCACTGTGCTAATCTCAGTGGGATGATGTCACAAAACTTCTTACGTCCAATCTCATTTGTTCATTGAACGTCTTTTGAGAAACGTAAATTGTGACAGTTAGCATGAATAAATTATTTTAGAGTGACTTGCAATAGCACTGACTTGCATTCAGCTCATGCTTCATTGACATAGTTGTTGGATTGAAGTAGATAGAAGGGACAAATATTTCTTATTTTCATATGACTGTCTTCTACACTGGTCAGTTTAATGAAAAGAAAACTTACTGTGGACAGTTGGATGACACTAATAAGATTCAAGGACCTTTATTTTCAGCTGACATTTACATTTACTTGTTTACGGTGTAGAATGGGCACTGAACAGCAGAGAGCAGTGAGGAAAAACACCCACTGATGTGGATACAGTAGCTGTAAGCTCCTCCCACCTTATGAAAAGATAGAGGAAGGAAATATTTCAAGTTCATAGCGATTTTCCAGTACGAATATACAGACACATTCTTTAAAAAAAATAATATTCTTAAGAAATGCTTAAATCCCTGGTTTCTTTGTTTTTACTTGCAGGTAAGAATCATGAGATGTTAGTTTTTCCTATTAATGCAGCAGACTTTCAAAGTGTGTTCACATTCCGTTTTTGCTTTTTCTTCATAGATATTGTTCTGTCATCACCTGTCGTCCAGCAATCTCCTGTGTCTCTTCTCCTGAAACCTGAACAAGAGGCCAGTCTTGAATGTTACCATGGAGATAGCAATTTCCCCTACATGCTCTGGTACAAGTCTGCGGCAGGAGGCCAGCGCACCATGGACCTCATCGGTTATCTCTATAACGAAATCCCAAATCCCGAGCAGACGTACAAAAACCGATTCGCCATGACGGGCAATTCAAAGGCCAAAGGCCAGCTTGTGATCGCCAACGTCACCCTGTCAGAAACAGCAGAGTACTTTTGCGCAGCTAGGCTACACAGTGGTTCACCTCCTCTGGGCTCTTCACAAAAAGCCACTCAAACATGCACCTGCATCCAGCCGCAAGATACAGAAGAAGAGAGGCTTTAAATTTGTGCCCTAAAGATTAAAAAAAGCAAACAAACGCCAGACTCTTTTATGTCCCACTCGTGATTTATGTCATCAGGAATAAATTCAGATTGAATGACAGCAACAGCAATAGCTGCGAAATGAACACACTCCCTTCTTCCTCTTTGATCTATTTACAATGTTCACACTGATGTCATTTCCTCCTTACAGATCTCAACTGTTGTCCCTCTCTTTTTTTCTCTTCTTTTGGTTCCTGCCTCTAAATGCAAGATGGCTTTAAGCTCCACCACCTCGGCACTCATTGTATTCTGTGTTGCAGGTAAAACTGATAACAAAAAATAACAACACCAACGTGTCATGGTGCGTTCCTATTGTAATTGGTAATAATTCTGCTGTACATTTCTGATCAGACTTTTCCTTCTTTTGTCCGTGTGTCAGGTATTTGTCAGTCTGTGCTCATCACCCAGTGGCCGCAACACATCGCCAGCCTTCCCAACGGCTCGGCCGAAATGTTCTGCTACCAAAATCACTCCGATTACGAATTCCTCCACTGGTACAAACAACAGGGGGGGAGCGCTTTACAGCTGGTGGCGAATGTGATTGTTGGTCGGGCTACCTACGAAGACGGATTCGAATCCGGTTTTCGGGCGGTGAAGACGAGCGAGAAGCAGTGGTCCCTGACCATCTCCAGCGTTCGGCAGGCAGACGAGGCGGTTTACTTTTGCGCCGCTAGGCCACACAGTGCTGCGGCAGACCTAGGGACCCTGACAAAAAAAACACGCAGCTGAAGAGGCTGCTCGCTGTTCCGACACCTGACTCGAGTTCAGAACAAAGGCGGAAACAAAACCACGCTGTGGACATGACTCCTACTGAAGTGTTTCATGTCTGTTTGTGCATTCTTTACAGAATGCTGAAGAAAAACAGGACTGCTCGAGGACAGTGAATATATCCTGCCAACAGGTGGAGTCACAGCACGTGGCATGCAGCCGTCATCATGATGGTGGGTTGACGAACCAATAATATGAACCAACAAACCCAACACCCTCATTCTTTATCAACTCTGTTTTCTCTCATGACTATTTGACGATGCTCTCATCCATGCGAACACTTGGTTTCCTCTTCGTCTGGTTCTTATGTAAGCATTCCAGCCTCTTTGTGTATCAGTGCTCCACACAATAATGGCTCTAATTCACTGTTTGATTTCCCCCACAGGTCAGGTGAGCGCCGTTACATTTAAGCAGTCTTCTCCTCTCATAGTGGAACCGGGCAGAGCTGTCCACATTAACTGCAGCCATGACGATAGCAACCTTATAGTGATGCTTTGGTATCAGCATAAAAGGGACGACAACTCGATGACCCTAATCGGGTTCGGGTACGAGAACGCCCAAAACTACGAGGGTCAGTTCGAAAAACAATTCAAGCTGACGAGAAAAAGCACGGTGGAAGGAGCCCTGTTAGTGCGGGAGCCCGCCGCGTCGCACTCGGCTGTTTATTTCTGCGCCGCCAGTACACAGTGATGTGGTTTAATGCAGCAGCCTCACCAAAAACCCTCAACTTCTTCTCCTGTGATGTGTGTGTGTGGTGTGTGTGTCTTTTCACAGATTGACAAAGGCTCGATGGCACAATCCAGGAGGATGTCTGGGACGATGACCTTGTTCCTGCTCATCTTGCTGCCATGTAACGATATCATGCATATAAATTAACCGAAAAAATAACATTTAGTCTAGTTTATTGAGTACATTGATCCTGGACTTCAAGGAGCTGTTTTCTTAATCTGCGTTTCATTTGCAGATCATGCAAAGAGCGCAAAATTCCTTCAATCCCACCCCCAAATTGTTGAAGAAAAGAAAGCAGTGGATTTTAAGTGCAGTCATGATGATAGTGCTCTCAACGTAATGCTCTGGTACCAGCAGACAAACAGCGGTCGGATTGATTTAATTGGTTACAGCTACGTTGGTTCCGACCCAACGTACGAGGAGCAATTTAAAACCCGTTTTAGAATCACGAGGACAAACGTCACACACGGAGGTCTGACTATAGACGGTGCCAGTCTGTCAGACTCGGCTGTGTATCTCTGCGCCGGCAGTACACAGTAATGTGGTCTGATGAGACCCCGCTACCAAAATCCTCCCTCTTTCATTCGGTTCTTTTTTTAAGATCTCTGGGATAAGCTGCCTCACAGCAGAATGAACAGAGGAAACGCTGATATTTCTGAGGGGTTGTCTCTGTTTGATTGGCTGTCACAAAACCTCCTTAAAAACAGTAAGCCACACACACCTCTCAATAAAAAAAAACCTGCCAGTCAGAGAATGGAACATCCAAAGCTGTCCTGTGGTGTCTGGTGCACACATTTGAAAGTTTCAGCCGACCACTGTGTCTGCACTTTCAGAAATATCTAAATCTGCTCTCTAAATGGATCCCACTGCCTAACCAAACACACACCCACACACACACACAAAAAGACCTTTCACCATTAAAGGCTTTCTCTGTGAACCTGGCATTGTTTTTTCCGTAGTATTTCCACCTCTATTCTTTGAGATTTCACCACGTGACCATTATAAATAAAAGTGAGGGAAAATATTTAGTTTGAATCCATAGTTACCTTAGTAAAACATTTCAAACTCTGGCTCCAACCGTATAGGGGAAAAGCATCCCATGGAAGTAAATCGTCTGTATTATTAAAGAAACCTCCAGTTCTTATTAAACCCATCTAAATGCAGCATGGACGGAGCAGGAAAAGCTTTTCATTCAGTTCAGTTAAGAGAGGTTTATTAGAGAAGATAACTTAAGAAACAGGATGTTTAATGGTATTGATGTAGTTCATAGAATGGCTGGGGAATTTCTTTTGTATATTTTTGCCCCTCATATATAATAGCTCTGAGTTCCTCAAATCAAAGTGTGGAATAAGTCATTCATAGTCATTCAGTAGATATTAGAATGCTAATCTCTGCTGTATTGTTCCTCTGTGTTGTGTTGATCAAATTATGTGATGGGGGGCCAGGTGGAGGCTTTCTGAAAGTTTATAAAACTGTCTGCAAAGTGTTGTCCACTGTGAAGAAAGATAGGTCGCTTCTCCTTTCCCGAATACAGTCGTGTGATCACGTGACCCTAAATCTCTTTCCTTCTAACTGAACGCAGCTTGATTTGTCTCCAGACAGCTGAATACAGCACATCAGACAACATGCATCCCATAGTTTTTTATCTCTCAATGCTTTTACATTCAGGTGGGTACTTTCAGTATTTATTTGTGTTTTCCTCAGAGTCTCTGCTGAGCACGTTGTTGCTGAGTACTAGAACTGATTCCTTTATGCGTGCAGGTTATGCAATTCAAATACTGCAGTCTGGAGATAAGTTATCTCACCCGGGAGACAACCTGACTCTGGGCTGTAGCCTGGGACAGGGACTGAGCATGGGCAGCCACACCATGTACTGGTACAGGCAGAGCCATTCTGGAGCTCAAATCCAGTTGGTCATCCAAGAGTACGAGCAAACCGTGGGACGCTTCCACTCATCTATCGACGCGGTCAAAAACAGCTTCCCGCTTACAATAACTGAGATCCTCCTGAGTGACTCCAGCATCTACTACTGCGCTGCCAGACACAGTGACGCACAGACGGCAGGCGCTCGCACAAATAACAGCGGGCCGCAAGCACATGGCACGCCGGCAGGAAGGAGCTGAGGCTCATTTCGGTTTCGAAAGCTATATTCTTAATACATACTAAACCAAAGCCACAACCGCCTCATTAGAGAATAAATTACACTGCCTCCGTCTGTGTCAAACTGACCGACTGTTGGGTTTTTATCGATACAGCATTTTAGAATGAAAGAGATTTCTTCTGCCTGTCGTTTTGGAATGGGTTCAAAGGACATTTCCAATCTATTTTGAAGTGCATCATTCTGCAGACATTAAGATTATTCAGAGGTAGAGACAGGGCAGTTGTCAATCAGCCTAAATGTTGCGTACAACACTCATGAAAAAGCTAAAAAAAAGGCATGAGCCACATCTCAGACTCCATGGGCCTCGTCAGGAGGTGAAATGTAACGAGTAACAGTAGTGCATTTGGAAAAGTATGGGTTATTTGAAAGGGTCGCCAAAGGAAAATACAATTTTATAGCGTCAATCACTGTGGCAATTTGGTTTAAGTTTGCAAAGTTGGAGCCGAACCAACCACAAGACTTGTGGAAACGCCGTTATTTCACCAAAAACAACCCACTATGACATGTGCTCAGGTGCTCGAACCAAAGGTGAGCACAGTGGTGGAGGACCGGAGAATTTGGGTTTGTTCTATGCTCCCAGGACCAGGACACAACAGGTCTCTCCTTCACAAATGTACTGCGCCCTATTGGTGCAAAAGGTTTGTCCGACAAATCCCATTGTCTTTCATCCTCACTACTGACACCTGGCGAATCTTAGCAGCACACCCCTACATCTCTGTGTTGTTTCCTGGAAACCAACAAGACTGAATGGAATGTCAGAGAAAATTCCAAAAAGCAGGATTGATCTCTTAAATTCTCTTAAATCTCTCTAAAAGGTGGATAAAAAATGATGATGATCCACATGCATCAGTGATCACAATGTTTGTCATTTCCAATAATGTGATTGTGTCTTGGAATTCTCATTCTGAGTCATAAAAGACCTGTAACCTGCTTTTGCCACAAGGAGACAGCTTCTGTCAAAAAAAGGCCACAACAGGGCGGATCTCAATGCATTTCAGAGGCTTTAATAAAGACGAACTGCAAGCAACAGCTGACTGAGCAGAGCTCTAAACGATTTCATTACAGACTAGTCTAATGATGAACGTGCTTTGTGTTGCCATGATAATCTTCTCCAGTAATAACATTTTCAACAATAAAGTGTTGAACTTCAAAGTATTATTTTAAATACACATGACAGGCATTCAAGATTAACAACATTAAAAACATGACACAGTTTATGTAAAAAAAAAAAAATCCTATTCGTCAAATTTATAAGAGCTCTCTCTCCTCGGTATAATGAGGTTTAACAAATTCCACAGGGCTGATGTGTTCAGATAAAAGAGCAGGTGTGAATGGTTAGGTTTCTCCATCTCCTTTGACATACCACCACGTCATGTTTAATCTGTGTCATGTTTCTTCAATAAACTTCACAGTTTCCTATATAATCTAAATTTAACTTATACTTAAAAATCTTTGTGCAGCCTAAAAAGGTAGAAGGGCATATACTTTGAGAAGTTATCGTGTGCTGACCTCTGCAGGATAATGGCTGCTACTGTTGTTAAATGTGAGCTAACTTCAGCATGAGAATGAATAAATGACTGGAGTGACATCATTCTGTCATGTTTCAGTGGCCTGTACGTTACTTTTCCCCAGTAATCACCCAAACTTCATCTTCAAATTTTCCTCTAAACAGCTATCTTACCAGATACAAACTTAATGAAATATATAAATCAAAGATTTATTGTAGAGAGGTTGCAGTTCTAGTCGTTTCTATGGTGACCTATGTTGTCCTGAAGTTACCGAGAATATAAAATTTACCATGAGCCCACATATCACACATCTTGAAGAAATTATGGACAGTGGCTCCAATTTGATATCGAAATGCTAATTTCTCTAATGTAACAAGAAGAAAACTGTGGCAAGTCATTCTGTCACAATTTAAAATACATCTCTTTGTGTAGTTAATGGATAATGTTTCTTCTTTGAAAACTTGGACACTGAAAAACAAAGCTATTTCCCAAATTATATGAATAAATAAATGCCCTTTTTTATCAGTCAGGTGCAGTCAAGTTCAGCTTTGGCTTGGTTAAGTTCATGTTAGGCTTTTCCTTTTTCTATAAGGATACCCTTACACAAGCAGCAGGTCATTTGAATAGCAAGAATACCATTATTTGAGTCCCTTAAAGAAAGCCTCTGTTTTTCTTGGCAGAATACAAACTGGAGGATTCAGCAGAATGATAATATAAGCGGCAAAAATTGGGGTTGCACCAATGTGGACAAAAACAGGCCTACTATAAATGAAGTCTGACTTCAGAAGATGGGCCACCTCATAATCCACATGATTTAGTAATATCTTAAAAAGAAACTATGCTCAGTTCAGTCTTTTACTCTGTAATTTTGCTTCACTTCAAACTTCAGTTTACAAGAGACAAAAGCAACAAAAAAATAAATAAAAAAAGTTGAGTATCTGCTATATGCCTCAGTGGCAGCCACAGCCTGACGGCTGATTGGATGAAAAGCTGTGACCAGCAGAGGTGTCACTTCCTCTGAGCGGCTATAAACAAACACCAACAAAAGAGCAGCTTCCCCTTTCCTTTCCTCACTTCTTTTCTTAGCTGTCACAGAAATAGCAGCAGTCGGGTTGGAGTGTGTTCAGCCCGACACAAACAGCTGCTCTCGCACAAACGTACACACACACACACACACACACACACACACACACACAGATGGAGGCTGAGATAGGGAGAAGCTGGGTGGGGGAGGCAGAGAGGGGAAAACTAAAGAGACACAGGGTTTTTGTATGATACTTTTCTATCGTGGGGACAGGGGGCCACGATGATACAAACCCATAGAGCCGCCGTACAAAAACCTCCTCCCATTAACCTCCATTGTGTAGACGGCTACATGCAACTTAGGAGAGTTAAAGGAGAAGAAAAATCCTTCATCTGAAGACGCTGTAGATGGAGGAACTGCTGACCATCTATTAGACTGTTTTTAATTTAATATTTGATCAAAAATACCATTTAACTTTTTTTAAAAGTTATTGTGTGTAAGATTTGTAAGTTTTCTTTGCTCTTGTCGACAAAAAAACAAACAAATGGTGACATGATGAAGCTCAGCCTGCAGGTTTAAACCCTCATCATCCTCTGGATTATCAGAGGAAGTCTGAACAGGAAGATTATGGACAGTTTGTGACTTTTTGGTCGAGGAGACTTTCAGTGTGACACTGGAACTGAGGCTTACTTTGGAAAAGGAACTAAACTCACTGTTTTGGGTAAGTTGGACAATTTGCAAGTTAATTTTACTGTCTTAGACTTAAATTAGGGGAGAACTTCAGCCTGAATCAAAGTAAAGGAAAAATCTGAAGTGTTTAGAACACCTGTATTATTGAGCAAAACTCAGAGCACTGTGACCAGCACTTATCCTGCTTACTTTGGCCAAGGAACCAAACTGACAGTTTTAGGTAAA